TTCATTAGCACCCCCCCCCCCCCCCGATGGCATTCATATTCTGTCTCTATGTGCGTGTGCTCACCATGAGCTGCAACAGCAGCTGATCTGGAACAATTTTGAAGATTGCTTATATATTTACTTTAGTTGAATCAGCTCCTGACTAACCACATTAGAAGTAAACAGGTTTGGATTCAGTTGGCTTTCTTGGAGAGTGGTGTCCTGCCCAAAATGTCACTGCAACTGCTTGGGGATCTAGAACCACACAGGAGAAGTAATATGTAATTACTGTGTTGCTCTGTGATTTTTTTTTTTTTTCCTTGTTACTGGTTTTAAATTGGATTTGGTTGGTTATTTGTATAAAAGCCAGTTTCTTCTGCTTGCATACATTTAAGCGTTTAAAGCTAAAATTTTTGGAGAATGTTCTGTGATGCTCTGTGTTATTCAGTTTTCTCCATGAAGCAATATACATTTTCTGTAAATGGAGAAAGACTTTTTTTCTATCTATGTGTTCAGCTAATTTTTCCATGAAAGAGGAATTTTCTGTGTTCCACTTTGAATTCCCTTGTATGAAGCCCTTCACTCATGGGACTGCCCTGCTTAGTTTCTCCCTGTGTGCAGTGAATGCCCTTGTTCTTTTTGTGATGGACTTGGTATAGATATGAAGCTGACCAGCTACAGAGCTTGAGAAAGTCTGTCCGCATGGAGCTACAGGAGTTAGAGATGCAGTTAGAAGAACGTCTACTCGCTTTGGAAGACCAGCTGAGAAGTCTGCACATGTCTTCACCTTACAGACCTCAGACACACGTAGTAAGTATTACTTTTACAAGAAGATTATATGTTTTCTCAGTGTAATGTTAATAACTCATAACTGTTCAAATTATTACAGTGGGAATGTATCTGGGGGGGTCTAATGATGCTGTGTGTGTTATCAGGGGTCATATTTTATTATTTTCAGTCAGTGTTTCATCTTGGGGAAAAGGTGTGTGAATAGAGGGACTTTATTGGTGTTAACATGTATCAGTACATATCTGCTGGGGTTTTAGGTCTGAGATTTCAGACCTCTTCTGGCAGTGCTTTCTTTTTCCTCATCATGACCCTGAATTATCACAGTTTTGATAGGCAGTGCTTGTGTCTAAAATCCTTGGGGGATGGTGATGGTCTTTCTGGAGTTTCCCTACACTGATTTTTTTTTTTACTTATGAAATGAGAGCAGAGAGATGAGAAATGCACTGTGTTTCTTTCCCAAGAAGTGGGGTATGCTTCCCCTCTAGCTCTGCCAGTCCATGGAACAAAAACTCAGGAAAATCTCATCATCTTCAGGTTTTTTCCTCCATTGCCTTTTGTAGCTCCTTTGAATGAACGGGTGGTTCCTTGCCAAACAGTGGGAGAAACTCTGCTCTCACAAATGCTCCCCAGAAACGCAGGAGGGGGGAGATAAGAGAGACACTTACATATGTTTATTGGTAGCATATGGTATGCTTTTACTTTTTTTTCACTCAGTGGAAGACTGTTCCAATTTTTTCTGCCTCAATTTTGTCATCAGCCAAACAAAAGAAGCACAGATGAAAAGTATCATATGTTCTTCCTAGGTTTCATTCCTCTTTCTTGGCCAGTCCTCTTCTGCAGAAGCAGCACAAGCATAGGCCACATCTTCCTCTTCAGTATTTTGTCATGGGAAAAAAATTGAAACCCAAGAAGAGGAAAATATGATATTACTGTGATCTGAAGCCAAACTTACATTCTTTGAACCATATAAATGTTTTTTATTTGTAAATCCTTTTATAGAAGAGGGCCAGCTTTAAAAATGACTGAAATAAACTTTCTCCAACCAGCTTTGCTTCCTGTCTCCAAGTTTCTACTTTTACAGAAGGTTATCTGAGACACGGCATATTTATGTATTAGCTTTTGACAGATCAAAAAAAAAAATTCCTCGATACATTAACCTGACTTAATTTTTCAGGGTATGTTTGGAAGCAGAAGTGCTGATAATCTATCATGTCCTTCTCCATTGAATGTCATTGAACCAGTAAGTAATTGTTGTGTGCTGTATGTTTTACTAAGAACCACCACCAGGATGGGATTTCTTAAAAAAGATTGCAGGAGATTCATTTGACACATAATCTTGGAAATACTTTACTCACTCGAGTAGTTCTGTTGAGAACAGCTGCATTTTCCCTTAAGCAAAGTTAACCATAGGTGTAAGTAGCTGTGAAGTCTTGTTTGTTTTTAAGAGGAATATGTAGAAGTGAGATGTTGTTTGCATTTAGTTGATACAATCACTGCATGATGAGTTTTCTAGGGAAAATTATTGCTCATTGTTGAGTGCATTTTATGATCCTGAAAACAAGTACTTCAAAGACTGCAGAAAGGAAAGAACAAATTTGAATTGTTTTAGCGAAGAAAAACAAAATCAAGCCTTTACGTGTGTCTCTGTCAATTGGTCTGCCAGGATGCATCCGTACTGCAAAAGTCAGTGGCTTGGGGAACTGCCACAGTTTGTATTTATGTTGGCTTTCAAAAAAGCCTGTTCCATTTTATGGTCCCCTTTGTTGCAGTCATAAAGGCAAAGCATGTATTTATTTTACAGCTGTATTTGTTGCATGGAGGGAATGAGTAAGTGATTGAATAAATATCAAGAAAGCATAGTTTGTCTGTATGTAACTTTTGAATATGCTTACTTGGGACTGTCTCTTTTCTGAATCCTTAGGTCTCCGAACTTATTCGAGAGCAGTCATTTCTGAAGTCTGAACTGGGTTTAGGACTGGGAGATCTTGGACTGGAAACTCTCCCGGCAGAGGGTACAGAGTCTGTATTCTCCCATGGAAACTCTGATTCCTCTTCAGTGTGCTCTGGTCACATAGGTAGAAAAGCTGGTGTTGGATCCTCTGAACTAACAGGAAGGCCTAAGAGTCAAAGCAAGAAGTTATACCGAGCCTCCGTTGCCTTAACACCAACTCCCCCAGTGAGAGCAGGCACTGGGCAGCAGGTGGAAAGCTCTGAGGAGTTTGCAGACTCCAAGCCAGAGGTGGAGTACAAACTTGAAAAAGTCCCTCTCGTGCCTTCGGTTGATGAAATCCACAAAACTGTGGAGCAGGAGGAGCTGCAGCAAGTCATACGGGAGGTGAGGCAGGAAGGGCTGAGATCTAGGATGTCTGACCAGTGTTTACTGAAACCTAAATACAGGCTATCTGAAACTCTTGGCCACTGGGATTTTCTCTTCCCTCTCAAGCCAAGGCTCCATATTGTTACTGTACTATTTCTGAAGGCTCAGAGCTTGCACTAGATGTTCAAGCCATGGTTGTATTCCTGTGCAAAGCAGCAGATGTTTTTTTCAGTGACAGTGGTTGGTACATAAATTAATAGCTAGTTGCTGCTACAAATCTGGGTGAGAATTAATTTGCCATCTCTGTTACATTACTACTGAAATGAAGTATTTCAGATTCCCAAGTGAAAATTTCTGTCATGTTTGCTTGCTAAAATACCAGGTTGGAGTTAATTTGATTGATGAAACACTGTTTCTGAAACAACTCTGTAGTAAATGTTAAAAATACTTTCCTAGTCACTCTACCCCCACACCACTAAGGGCTGTAGGAGTGTGTGAAGCAAGCTGAAGTCAGATGAGAAGTTATTTCAGACTTTAAGACTGATGTTGGACCAGTGCTTTTGGACTGGTTCTATTGGCAGTCAATGAAAGTGAAGGGTGCTTGGTTATTTTTCCTGTGTGCCAGATTAAAAAACAGGACTAGAACGGCATGTTTTGTTTGTCAGTGGCATGACAGAAAGCCTTATGGCAAGTAGTATAAATCGGAAAAGGAATTAAAAGCAAGTTCCTGTTTCTCAAGAGCAGTGCCTGGGACAAAGTGCAGTGAGGTGTCTCTGCTGTAAACACAGAAATGGGGATTGAAGACTTGTGGGGTTTATTCTCTCTTGAACCCTCTAGCCTTTAGCTCATCCCTTGAAGCTTTTGTGTGGTGCTGCTGTAAACCACTCGAAAGGCCAGGAGAGGTCTTATGCTCAGGAGTGTACAACAGGCCAGACTGTAATGCTGTGGTACCATCCAGGTTTGCTTGCATTGAGGCTGTGAATAACTGGAACCAGCTTTACCTTAACTGTGTCTTTAAAACAGATGAGAGGCAGGCCACTCATGATAGAACAGGAGCTGTGATCTCAGAGGAATCTTTTGCCACACCTTCATCCTTCTTCTCTCAGTGCAGAAAGAGGCAGAGTGTACTGGACCATAAGGTGTACTTTTACTCATTGTCTGACCACAAGACTCTGCTGTGTCTGTCTCTGCAAAGTGGAGATGTTTTCTTGTCTGACTCACTGTGGGCTTTGCTATGCAGTAGGCATTTACACTTGCACAATACACTTGCACAGTCAGATTGTGAAGCAATAGAGCATTACTAAGGAGTGTTCTCACAGAACATGATGGCTGGAAGCATGTGAAATTGTTTGCTTTCTTTACCTTTGGGTAACTCCATAAATAACCAGAGCTGAGAGTGCAAAGAATATTGCATAGCCACAAGCATACTCCCAGACTTCCCAAATTTTCTCTCTGGTCCATTTTTTTCCTTTCATGCCTTTTTAAAAGGATTCCTTGCCTAATGCCCAGAGAGCACTTGTACATGAGAGATTGATCACACCGTGCATTTTGCTGCCAATTCTGAAGTGAAACCAGGATATTGCATTTGTATCCAGTGCTTCTGTAAAAACCTGCGTGTCAGAGGAGTGGTGTTGTGGTGCAGGGTTGCTAAAGGAGAAACAGAGAGGAAGGAGAGAACTGTAATTCAAATGTGCTGCAAAAGCAGCAGAGACAATAAAGGGAGCTGGAGTCAAAGTACAGAGTTATTTCCGTCAATATTTTCTCTGAGGTTAGCCTGTGTGAAAGTTCCTCTTCATTAATTGATAGCAAATAAAGATGTGTACTCTTTGCACAGAGATTGTTCTCTGGGTTGTGTGGCACTGAGGACATTGTAATGCTGAAAGAATCTGCACTAAACTGAGAGGCTACTGTTCAAAGATGAGCAGTCAGCAAATAACTGAGCTTGCCTCACTTCATAAATGTTTGAGCATACAGAGAGATTGTCCTTTGGTTTAACTCCATTGGCAGCCAGTTTCAGATCGGCTCAGATTCTCAGCATGAGAAGTTTTGCAGGTCAGAGGGAAGATGCACTGGCACGAAGCACCTGCTAGTTTTTGCAGAGCTAGAATATGATATTAAATACTGGTCAGGAAAATATTTTCTATTTCATAAGAACTAAAACGGTGCATAAATTGAAACGTGTCTTCTTTAAGTAGCCCAGTTGTTAGCAAAGGAATTCCAATTTCATTGTCAAAAGAAAAAAATCTGGTAGGATGCATTCTTGATGTATGTACTCACAAATGTTAAATCCTTGCTTATTCTTCCCATTCTCTGTAGCTGCATGACCCCGTCTTGGGGAAAGAAAAGTCAGGCAGTGTTTCAGAATATGCCTGGGTGGGTTGTAATGCATGTGAGCTTTGACCTGTAACTATTTGCTGGCATTAAAAAACCCTATGGTGTTAACTTGTAGTGTTAATGGACTAACTCCCACAGAAAAGCATTCAACAACGTGAAATGTTAAAATGCCAAACAGCAGCCCTCTTGTTTTGATGAAAATACAGCCTGACCTCCGCTGGAGTATCACATGAAGCACTTACTGCTGGATTTGTAGGTCACTGTCTCTAGGAGTGCCATCAGGCAGTCTCACTCTGCTCTTCTGCAGTTTAGAAGATATGATAGTTTAACAAGCTTTCTGCTTAAGAGTAATGCAGGTTTTGTTTTTGCTGGCAGCTATCCATTGTAAATGACATTTAATGAAGTTATACTTTAAAGAAATGTATGATTTTCCTCTGAACATCTGTTTTAAGAGGCTGTAATGGGTCTTTAGGGGACAGACAGATGGTCTGATAGAGGATCTTCTTTTTTCTGTTTTCCGTTCAAATCCATGTTAGCGTTGATCAAAAATGTCTGTTGGTGGTTCATACTTCCCTTGTGCAGGCGTTAGGGCTTCCTCATCTTACTATCTTGAGCATAGAAACTCTCCAGCTGCTGCATGAAGAAGTGACACAAGAAACAAATGGAGTGGAAAATAATTCTTTTAATTACAGAAAACATACCTCAGATCAGGAGTATGAGGACTGTGAGAAGCCTCATGCCCATTTTCCATCAGTAGGTGAAGAACACCCATCTCCAGAATTTCCACTGTGACACGTTTCACTTTCCAATCAGGTCATTGTTTAGCAGCAACATAATATTACAGTAGTGGTAATTCTTTTGCAGGGAGAAGCATCCCTGGTTTTCTGTAGTAAAACTACCCATGAATGTGGTACTGTTATCAATGCAATATTGAATATTAGTGTTGTATCAGCGTAGTATGTGTATCGTAATGAGTTCGTTCTCTCCGCTTTCAAATGATCAATTTTTCATTCAGCTGCTAAAAATACCAGTGGAGTGTTCATTGACTGCTTTCTGTCTTTTGTATGGAGGAAGCCTTGGCAGCAGGCAAATGAAAGGTGCACCTTGCCCTAAATCATTTGAAATGAAAAAGGCAAACATTGGCCATTGTTACAACACACATGGGACTGAGTCACTGCAGGAATTGATGGCTTGCTTGCCATGCAGGGATGACCTTGATGATTCTGGAAAGGAGGGAGCGAGCAGTGGCAGTGAAAAGAAGCAGCAGAGGGTGGCCTTGTCGTCTCGGTGGGAAGGTGAGAAGCAGAGGGCTCAAGTGATCCACCAAGGTCAAGCCAGAAGTTGTTGGAAGAGCTGAGAATAGAACAGCAGCCACTTCCCTTCCAGTCTCCACCTTGCCACAAGACTGTCTGCCATGCTAGACTGTTTAGTTGCTAATTTGGGAAGCTTTTATCAGTTTTCTTTGGAATGTGAGGTTTATTTTTGTCTATCCCTCAAGAGAAGGGCACAGAATGACTGTTTTGCAGTGTACTCACAGACCCACCCTGTGTGATACTGGAGAAGTGGAGAGAGCAGCGCCAGGCCAGCCGGGGTGCTGCGTGGCAGGTTTCCCTGTGCCTACGTTTCTAAATCCCAGAGCCCTTACTGCATTGACAGAGGTCCTGAAGCTTTGTACATCTGTGTGTGTATCAGCATAGACATCCTCAGGACTTGCAGCTGTCAGTAAACCAGGTCCTGTTACACACTGGCTTTTCTTTTGTCAGTTAAGCAGCAAGCAACCCAACTGGAAACCTGTTTCCCAATCATATTCTAGTCTCTGAATTTTTGCTTGATGCTAAGTAGTAATAAAATGAGGAACTTTGCCACTAACGGTTTAGGGATTGAATTGCTTGCCAGAGAGAACAAGGGATAAATAACCAGTTGCTAATGCTGCTGCCACCCTTCTGACGTTGTTGCTTAATCCTTTTGACGCACCAGGAAAAGGGAAAACTTAGAAGAATAATTGCAAGATGTTCATTGACATGAGAGGGCTACACAGACATGGCAAGGCCCTTGGGAAGGCTGGGTTTGAGTCAATATTATTCCTGTTGTATTGGTGGGGCATCGGAACATGAAGGAATTTGTTACTGGCAGAACTGGGATTAGAAGGTTTTTTTCTGGCATTGAGTTCCGTGTTCGTTACAGCTCCTTGAAAGCTATTTTGAAATGACACTGTGAACAGTATTTTCTTTAGTCTAAGACCATTTATTCATGCCAGAAAATTGTTTGCCCTTTTCATAAGGAAAAGAAATCGTATTGCTTAAGTGGGCTGATGAGTGCTTTTGTGAGTGACCCTGGCTCTGGCTCTTAGCCCCCGGCACTCTCTCACTATCGTTGTCCTCCCCTGTCCATGGAACCACATCTGACTTGTTAGTCCTTCCTGAAGACCATCCGAAAAATGAGTTAGTACCAAGGATTTCTGATACTTGCAAGCAGCCTGTATGATTTTTCTTTGTCATGCTCTGCTCCTTTCTGGCATAATATGCTCTTGTTAGAACTGTGGTTTCCCTCCTTTTCTCTTTTGTCTCCTTTACTGTAGCCATCAGTGCTCTGCTCTTCCTTTGTTGTAGCCTCAGACACATTCAAGGGCCTGCTAGTAGTAACTCCTTGGTTTGTTTTATGTAAAACTTAATGGGTAAATGCTTTGTCACAGTCCTGTGAAAAACAGTTTTTGCTGGCATAGGTCATATTCCAGTGGCAAACTGATGATGTGAGCAACTGCTGAAGTTCTCTGTTTGTCTCTTTGCTGCTGAAAGTATGTAATTAGGATTCATCTCCTTTTGATTTATGTGAAAATAGCTTTTCATGTTCCTGGACTTGGACCTTTTTTACTGCGTAATCTATTTGTGAGGCAGATCAGTCTTGCTTTCCTTTTCAAGAGATAACAATTACTGTTGAAAGGCAGTGCGTTCGGGGTGCTTTTGATGTATATATCCTGAAATGCTATTTTTAGAATTTTGCATAGTTCAAGTGTATTTTTTCTTAACATAAACCCACTTATCCTAAGCGTAAAACTTACGTAGATTTACCATCTGGAAAAGTAAAAACTAGTTTGGTTTGTGTTTTTGTGATTTGCAAACACTCTAAAATTCCTTACATATTTTTCCAAGAGAAACCCTCTTATGTTTTTCCGTTTGCATTTTTTGAAAGTTGACTTTTTGGTGGTGTATTTTTTTCATATGTTTCATATATGTGATAATATCAAACATGTCTGCAATATAATTTAGTTTTATCCATTGGTTATATAATTTACTGACCTTAAAACTTTGGCTAATCCCTTTCAGATTAAGGAATCTATTGTTGGTGAAATAAGACGAGAAATAGTAAGTGGATTGTTAGCAGCTGTATCGCCCCAAAGCAGATCTGCAACTGCAAAACAAGATACACAGCCATGAAACTGGCACTACAGGTAATTTTTGGGAATCTGTCAGAACCTGATTTTATTTTTATTAATCATATGAAATGCCATTGTTAATTTAACCCTTGCTTTCTTTGCATTTTCCCCTTGAAATATAAGTGATCAAAATTGAAGCTTGTTACATGTAGAAGATACTGGTAATCCTAGATAGGTTCAGAAAATCATATGGTTTATAGTTTGGCCCATTCTGCTGTCACCTTTCATGCAGTGGTCCTTGATTTTTGGTTTCAGTGTGCTCCATGATGACTTCACATGTGAATGCATCATGCAAGAGGATTTCTGTAGTTTGCCTGCCTTAGATATAAAAAATATCAAAATACATACTTCAGCATGACAAGCAGACTTCGAAAGATCTAATTTAGATATTCATCTTGCTTTTTCTTTTCCATAAGGTTGAATGTAGTCCGAAGTGCCGTGGGATTCTGCTTTGGGAGGCATACGCTGGCGAAAGTGTCAAGTTATTTTCGCTTCAGGAGATGTTAAAGCTGCTGAGATAGGCTACTGTATTTGACGCTTGGTTCTATGATGTGTACCTTTCCTTGAGTTCATCCATAAAGACTTAGACACTTTAGCTAGTTCATTACTTTCCTTCAAGCATCAACAAAACTGTGGCTTGCTGAAAGGTTTTGTATTTATTTGTATGACCCTGGTGTAAATTTTTATGTAGCTAATTTCTTTGTCTAATGATGCATCATGAAACTTGAAAATTTCCAGACCTAACCAACTTATAAATAACACACATGCATTCAGCCTAGCTTTTTTTTTTTAGAAAAAAAAAAAAGCAACACCCCCCACCCCCACCCCACCCTCAACAAAAAACACTGACCTCTGTGAGGTATTTGTTGTGCAATAACTGATCCACTTTAAGAGCTTGAAACAACCAATAATGGTTTCCACTGCTGTTACTTAGTGCCACTTCAAAAGATGGAAACAATCCTGTTGTAAAAATTGCTGTTAATTCTTGGGGCGGTTACTATTAGCAGAGTGGTAGAATGACATGAGGTTACTTAAAACTACTTAAAGTTCTGACACTGAAAGCCTTATCTTTGTGTAGAAGACAACTTTTAACTAATTTTATTTGCTTCCTTACTGTTTGCCCATCCCTCTGTAGAAAAGTGCCTTATTTTAAGCACTGTTTTTTGTGTTTGACTGCTCTCAGTCATACCAAGAGAAGTTCTCTTCTGCTTCATATTAACCAAGATGCCATAGAAGTATTGATCTTCTGAAAGCAATTAGGATGTACAACTTAGAATGGATGAACGACCTTGCTTGTATTATGGGGAGAAGGGAAAAGTCTCTTTTCCTTGCCCATTCCTCACTGAGTGTATTTTCAGTTAGCCTGGTGAGCATGCATTTGTTCCAGTGGAGCAAACTGGAAGTCATTGGGAGTTTTATGTGGTCAAACAGACATTTAGTGGATATGTAATATCCCTTTTTGCTGTGCTTGGAATCTCTTTACTCCTTTGCCTTTTCCATCTACTAAAACACTTTACACTATGTCAAGGTCTTTAATCAAAACTAGTTTCAACTATAACAATATTATATGAAAAAGTTTATAAGATTTTAAATTGTGTTAGGAAGACACACATGAGGGCTGATTTCTTTTAAAAAAGTGTATATTAAACCAATAAAATATTTATTTTGCCTATAATCTGTGTCTGTTTTTCATTGTGCATGGTTTACTCTTAAGCAAAATAAGCAACGTAGATTTGACAAAATAGCACACAGAATGGAGAACGGCAGGAAAGCTCAGGACTTGGGTTTCCAGAAACTTTCAGATGTTCAGGGTACCCTGTATGCTTCAGAAATATTCTCATATTTTCTATCTCTAGAAATTTGAGAGAAATGTTGTCACTTAAAACCAAACTCTTAAAGTTGTTGGCTTCTGTTGTGACTCCAAGTGTTTGGTTGGTCTTGACATCTTCTCGGAGCTTGTCCCTGTGAGCAGAGCCAGAGCTTTCCTGAAAACCTCATCCTACATGTTTAAAAGTTGATATATCAACAGTTGAAATGACAGCACTCTACGCGTGGCAATCTGTATGAGGTGGTAAACTGCAGGAGGTTCCTGCTTTCCTTTGCAGCTTGCATGAGTGCACAGTTCCTTTTCAGAATGCCACTGGAGACCAACCAGCCAGACCCGAGTGCCTGCAACCTTCCGTCGCAAATATGCCAGCCCAAAACCAGCTCAAACAATTGCAGCACTAGATGCTTCCTTTGTCCCCCAGCCAGATTAATTATGAAACTTGACCATTAATGTCGGTCCTGTACCTGTGAGCTACTTGAAGTGGCATTCCAAGAAAAGTGGTGCCTGTGGTGCTCTGAGTGATGGAGGAAAGCACTTCAGGAGCCGCCCTGGCTGTCGAGCAGCAGCTCCCAGCAGCATCTTCCGTGGCTGGGCAGCCTGGCTCCTGGCTGCTCTGGCAGGACAACTCACTTGTAGGTAACATCCCGGAGAGTCGGGGGTCCTTCAGCTCATAGCTTTTAAGAACATTTCATCTTGGAGCCTAGTGTTTAATATATCATGAGAAATGAAAAATAGAGCCAATTTTTCATCTAGCTAATGCAAGGCAGATTTGTGATGTTCTGGCATAATTTAAAATAAAGACATTTTGAAATGACATTTCTAAAAACTACTAAAACTAATGAATATACAAGCACCTATTTTTCCATAATCCTGATAACAGATTTTTGACATTCTTACAGACGCTTCCAGCTAATATTTTCTGAGTGACATTTATGTGGATATAAGAATGTCTATAAACTCCTGTTTAAAAATAAAGTAGTGCACTGCTATCATATAAGTTAAGCTGAACTGATTTCAACCTCTATTGACATTTCTGCTTGTGTTTTAGGAACAGCTATCGTTATTATTGGACACACACCTAACCTGGATGGCTTGCCCTTCAGTAATGTCAGTTCAGCTGTAATGATTTTCTGAACATGGATGGCTTTTTCTTTTGTTTAATTGCTGAAACTGCTACTTTCCTTACAAATTAGTGTTATCTTTTTTTTCTGCCAGGCTGCAGTGTGTTATGACTTCTATGCAGATTAAAACGGTTTTATTAGTGGCTGATAAATATTGGTTAATCAAATTTGTTGTCAATAAAGTCAGCAGTAATGCCAGAGATATTTTGGATGCTTTTCTAAACTTCACTGTTACAGTGGTCATTGTGGCTGCCTGTTGGCTGCAGGAATATAAAGCCAAGGGCTCTGTTTTGGAAACCCCAAGCTAGCAGTTTTCTGTGGGTACAGGACAACTACATCCCTATTGGCAGCAAAATCAATTTGTCTTTAGCCTGCTGTAGAGCAATACGTGCCTATGCCACAGCTCAAATCAGGCAGAGATTTGGGGATCCAAGTACTCTTGGAGACTCTTTTTTTTTTTTTTCTTTCAAGGTGAGTAAAAGTGTGTTTCTAGCTCCCAATGTTGCAGTGAAAAACTACAAAAATGACCTCTGCCAAAATGTGGACACATTTCAGCATTCAGCAGCTGGAGGCAATAGCTGGAATGGCAGGAGCAGCCCCCACCACCACTTGGGTTAGAGCTGCAGTGCCCATGAGGTGCTGCTGCTACTTGCCCACAGCATCACTTGTGTGAGACCTGAAAAGGAAAAGACCAAGGATGGCCATGGACTCAGCTATGTGGCTGGGAGTGAGTATGCAGGAGGAGGGGCTCCTGCTGCTGGTTTGGAGAGGAGACTCAAAGTGGCCTTGCCCCGACTGAAAACTGATGGGCCCTTGAAGTGCTTTCAGGCACTTTTGCTGACCATGACCTTCCGAGAGGGAAAGGCTGCCCTGTATCTTCTGCTTTCTCTAAAACTGTATGGTGTGCAAGTACCTGGCAGCCTGCTTTTAGAAGGCAAGTGATGCCCAGGATGCTCCAAGCTGTGCATTTCCTAAGGGCCGGTTTGCTCTGCTGCCTCTTTTAAGGTGAGAATATAGAGCCTTGCTGCTACAGTCCAGCCACTGTTGCACTACTCTGCTGAGCCTTGAGGGGCAGCATTTGTGCTGCCTTTAAATTTTGTGTAGTGCTGGCAAATGGCTTACACTTGAAGTGCAGCATAGGTCTGAACATTTAATTCAGTTATACCACAGATTAATCTGTTTCAATGAAACCGTCCACAGGGAGATGCTGATTAGGGAGAGGAAACAAGAGCCCAGTTTGGAAAACGAAATAATTCAAGCCATGACATAAAACAAAATCATGTCTAAATTACTGGGAAATTTCTTTTTTGGAGGGTTTTTTCAATAGAAAACAAACCCAAAACTCTGAAACCTGAAGTTTATGTCATAACCTTTATCAACCTGTATGTCATAAACCAGAATAACTGCCGGTTAGGTGGCTTCAGTCCAGTGCAACATTTTCATGCATTAACATGATGATGTCAAAATAATACACGATTTGATTTTCAGAAAACCCAAGAAACTTGTGTTATTAACTTGGCACAATGCAGATTTACTCTTGTATGTGATTTTAGATATGATGGTAATCTTTCGTATTCATGCCATACTATAAAAATGCACAATATTGTTACAATGAAAGTTGTAACAATAAAAGACAAGATAATTAAAAAAACCCCAAATCACTTGCTAATTCAACATGGCTTGCGTATCAGGCAATTCTGCATAGATGCTTGCTGAGTGATGGTGAATATTATATACAGAAGCGTCTTTCACTTTTTTTGACAGGGTAAAAGGAGAAAGCCTGGACAACAGTTAAGTATTTAAATGGTAGCAATGAGAAGGCAGCACGATGAAAAGCAAGACTTGCTTCAGTAAATGCATAGCTTTCACAGGTATTTCTAAATTTGTGAGTCTTTGTATAATAATATGGAGTTTCTAACTTTTTTATTTTCTAAAGTAGTCCTGTTTTCCATCAGTTATTTGCTACAACATATTAGGGAGCTTTAGAGTAAATTTTTAAAGAAAACATCGACAAAAATATTTCTCTTTAGTTTTGTTTGTTCAGCTTTAGTTTTAAAAGTATCATAAAGACGGGGGAAGTTATTCTGAAGGGCAATGTCCTGTACTAAAGACTGAACAATGCAGATTTAAATACGTACTTAAATGAGGTATTGTTATTATTGAGGGGATGTGCATGCAGGAAAACTTACATCTAAGCATATTTTCACACTGGCATAAGCGGTGGAAAAAAAGAAAGGGATTGATGATTCTAAAGTAGAAGGAGCATAGCAGCACAGGCTTAGCAAATGCTTGGAGTTTTGTTGCAGTTAGTACTGTAAGAGCAGCCAGAGCAGATGAAACTAAAGTATCTTCACACCCACAGTGGCCAACAGCAAATGTTACTCTGGGAAGAGTGTAGCCTGAGGGGGGTGTGGGGAGCATCTCTGGCCTCCCACTCTCAGCAGGCTGTGGCTCTGGGATTTACTGGCCAGCAGAGTGGTATCCTTGATAGATTCCTTTTCCATTCATGTTTCTAATGCTTTTCTAGCTTGTGTAAAATCTTGGTGTCCACAGCATCCTGTGACGATGAGCTCCACAATTTAAGCACAGCCTGCATGGAGAAGGTTTTTTGTTTGAACCAATCACTGAATAATTTAATGTGATTCCTTCTAGCTCTGCTGCTGCTTCCAGGCCCCGTGGGGCCGCAGAGAGGGCACAGCCTGAATTGGGGTAACCCTTGGCTCCTGGCTTGTCCCTACTCACGGAGCAGCCCTGTTCTTGCTGTTTGTGACACTTGTACAAGGAGTAGCAAATGATTGTAGCCCAGCCACCTTCTCCAGGTCAACGGACCCTGGATACCACTCTCCAGGTGTGCCACCTGCACAGGTCTGATGGCTCAGT